TCAAGCAATCCTCCCACCTCAGCCGCCTGAGCAGCTGGCACTACAGTTGCGCGGCCATCATGCCCGGTTAATTTTTTTTACTTTTTATAGAGAGGACGTTTTGCTATGTTGCCCAGACTGCTCTCCCAACATCTTTTTTTTTTTATACGGAGTCTGTCATTCAGGCTGGATTGCAGTGGCATGATCTCAGCTCACTGCAATCTCCACCTCCCGGGTTCAAGCGATTCTCCTGCCTCAACCTCCCTTGTAGCTGGGATTACAGGTGCCTGCCACGATGCCCGGCTAATTTTTTGTTTTTGTTTTTAAAAGAGACGAGGTTTCGTCATGTTGGCCAGGCTGGTCTCGAACTTCTGATCTCTGATGGTCCGCCCGCCTCGGCCTCCCAAAGTGCTGGGATTACAGGCGTGAGCCACTGCGCCCGGCCTGGTCTCCAACTTCTGAGCTCAAGCAATCGTCCCACCTCAGCCTCTCAAAAAATGGTGGGCTCACAGGCGTAAGTCACCATGCGGGGCCGCCATCTCCTTTTAACAAAGGAGTTAGAAAATAAAAATAAAGTAAAATAGAAGAAAAAAAAACCCTCACAAAACCTCAAGAAAATAGCATTCTATGGTTCTGCAGAAAAGCAAAAAACACTCCAATGTACTTCAAAGAACACGGCTTTAAAGTCTGTCCCAAACTATACTCTGGATAACATCCTCAAATGACAGAAAAAAAATAACATGCCAACCACAACCTTTACCTGAGCGTCCTGCGCCTCTCTCTCTGGAACCTGCAGGCACTGGGAGCGGAACACCTTCCAGCTTCGGGGTGAAGACAAAGGGCCGTGAGGGCTACACCCCTACTCCAGCCCGACGGCCCGCCCCAGCCCGCTGGAAAGGACACCCCAGGAGCAGCTCTGGGACTTCCCCGCCTACCTGCGCGCACCGCCGGTGCTGCAGCCGGGGCAGGCGCACGCGAACACGTGCAGCAGACGGTGAAACGGAGAGCCTTCCAGCGGGCAGTACACCTGCACGATCAGGGCGAGCGGCTGCCCGCAGCGCTGACACACGGGCCTGGGCGCAGCCACGGTGGGCAGAGCGTCCTGAGGGGACAGAGGAGGCGCTCAGACTCTAACTCCCCCTGGGACCTTGCCCACTCCCTCCGCACCCTTCGCCACCACCCATCAACCCCAGCTCCGGCACCCGCCCTCACCGGAATGCCGCCCAGCTTGCTAGCAGTCCAGGCGTCCGGCCCTGTGGGGCTGCCGTGCACCGGCGCATCTCGAAGTCCCAGCAGCACCGGCTTCAGAACGGCCGCCATGGCTGCCTGGCGACCAGGTGAAAACGCGAACTACGGCAGCCGAACGGGCGCGCGTGTCCGCGCACGCGCAACGCATACACTGACATGATAGCCCCGCCCCCTTACTAGGATCCGATGCGGAGGCGTGGCTTTAAGGCGCGTGCACTCAGGTCCAAGAGCCGCACAGGCGCTGCTGGCATCATGTGCCCCTTAATACGCTGTAATAGGAAGTACACACCATCTACTAGGAAGTAGTTTTGCCAAAAAGCTAACTTTTTTTTTTCCTTTTTTTCTTGAGACGAGCACTTGCTATATTGCCCACACTGGTCTTGAACTCCTGGCTCCTGGGTTCAAGTGATCCTCCCGCCTCTGCCTCCCAAAGTGTTGTGATTACAGGTGTGAGCCACTGGGCCCAGGCTCCAAAAAGCCTTCCCGGGAAATAAAAATTTTAGGTTGGATAATGGTATTATCAATAACAAGAAGAAATGAAGTTTTTAATTTTTAGAGAAACACACCAAAATGCTTATAGATGAAATATCTGGGATTTGCTACTACATAATTAAAGTGGGATGTAGATACAGTAAGATTGGCCATGAATTGATAATTGTTGAAATTTGGTGCCAGGCACATGGAGATTTATTCTATTTGGGTTTTATATGTTTGAGATTTTTCGGAGTTTTTGTTTTTGTTTTGTTTTTGAGACAGAGTCTCGCTGGGTCGCCCAGGCTGGAGTGCAGTGGCGCCATCTCACTGCAACCTCTGCCTCCCAGGTTCAAGCGATTCTCCTGCCTCAGCCCCCCAAGTAGCTGGATTAGGATTACAGGTACCCACCACCACGCCTGGCGCCCAGCTTTTTTTTTTTTTGAGACGGAGTTTCTCTCTTGTTGCCCAGGCTGGAGTGCAGTGGCATGATCCCAGTTCACCGCAACCTCTGCCTCCCAGGTTCAAGGCCGCCTTCTGCCTTAGCCTCCCAAGTAGCTGAGATTACAGGCATGTGCCACCACGCCCGGCTAACTTTGTATTTTTAATAGAGACAGGGTTTCTCCATATTGATCAGGCTGTCTTTGAACTCCCAACCTCAGGTGATCTGCCCACCTTGGCCTCCCAAAGTATTAGTATTACAGGTGTGAGCCACCGCGCCCAGCCACACAATACAGTTTTTTAAATTCCTGCAGCACAACGTGGGTGAATTTCAAAAGCATCATGGGAAGAAGCCAGACACAAAAGGTGCCGTTCTGGTCAAAGCAGAACTTCAGGGGAAAAAAGATCAGTTCAATGGTAGTCAGGAATTGGGATGAGGGAGTAGGACTGGACCACAAGAGTGTCAGGAACTTTTGAGGGTGAGGAAAATGCTGTATATCTTGTCTGTAATGGTTATAAGACTGTATATACACTTGTGAAAACAGAACTGTATAGCAAAGAAAGGTGAATCTTACTATATGTAAATTATACCCCAATAAACCTAACTTTTTTAAAATGCAGGCTGCAAAAACATTATTTTAGGATTCATAACATGGTATGCAAAGGAAACGTATGTTTTCAAGGATCTACACCTCAAAGGAGGAAGCACCAGCCTTTGTGATGTTCGGCTTTAGCCCAGCAAGGACCTGGAGACGCAACCTGTTTAATCCTGTTTTATCACACTTCAACCTGACAGCTGTAAAAGGCCCTGTGATGCTGGGCACGGTGGCTTGCACCTGTAATCCCAACACTTTGGGAGGCCAAGGCAGGAGGATCACTTGAGCCCAGGAGTTCAAGATAAGCCTGGGCAACACAGTGGTGTCACCAGGGCAGGGTCTTGACTACAGGTTGTCCAGGTTCTTGGAATGCTGAACAGAGAGGTGGACAAAACACACAAAAAAGCAACAAAAGAAGGAACAAAAGCACAGATTTATTGAAGCGAAAGTACACTCCACAAAGCAGGAGGAGGCTCAAGCAAGTGCCCTGTTTAGAAAATCTGGGGTTTAAGTACCCTTTAGAGGTTTCCTATTTGGTTACACCCTATGTAAATAAAGACTTGGCCTGCCACCAATCAGAGGCTGAAGTGAACGCTCCCTTGTCTCTAGACCCTATTCTCCTGCCTCAGTGGGACCCTATCACTACAAAAATTTATTTTCTATTCTTCTTACTTTTTTTTTTTTTTTTAACAATAGTACACTGATCTACAAAAATTTAAAAATGAGCGGGGTGTACTGGCTGTCTCACGTGAAAAGACCCCCAAACAGGCTTTGTGTGAGCAACATGGCTGTTTATGTCACCTGGGTGCAGGCAGGCTGAGTCCGTAAACAGTCAGCAAAGGGTGGTGGATTATCATTAGTTCTTATAGGTTTGGGGATAGGCAGTGGAGGTAGGAGCAATGTTTGCGGGCAGGGGGTGGATCTCACAAAGTACATTCTCAAGGTGGGGGGAGAATTACAAAGAACCTTCTTAAGGGTGGGGGAGATTACAAAGTACATTGATCGGTTAGGGTTGGGCAGAAACAAATTACAATGGTGGAATGTCATCAGTTAAGGCTATTTTCACTTCTTTTATGGATCTTCAGTTGCTTCAGGCCATCTGGTCACAAGGCATATGATGGCTTAGCTTGGGCTCAGAGACCTTACACTGGCATGCATCTGTGGGCCCAGCTACTTGGAAGGCTGAGGTGAGAAGATCACCTTAGCCTGGGAATTTGAGGCTTCAGTCAGCTATAACTGCATCACTGCAGTCCAGCCTGGGCAATGAAGACCGTGTCTCTAAGAAAAAAAATTCTGAATAGGCTGGTAATCCCAACACTGTGGGAGGCTGAGGTGGGAGGTTCTCAAGCCCTGAAATTCAAGACCCGTCTCTACAAAAAATGAAAAAACTAGCAGGGCATAGTGGCACAACCTGTAGTCTCAACTACTTGGGCGGCTGAGGCAAGAGGACTGCCTGAGCCCGAGTGGTTGGGGTTGCAGTGAGCTGTGATGGCACCACTGCACTCCAACCTGGGTAATGGAGCAAAACCCTGTCTAAAAAAATAAGTTGTTAAAAAAAAAAAAAAAAAATTGTGCCGGGCGTGGTGGCTCACACCTGTAATTCCAGCACTTCGGGAGGCTGAGGTGGGCGGATCACCTGAGGTCAGGAGTTCAAGACCAGCCTGCCCAACATGGTAAAACCCCTTCACTACTAAAAATACAAAAATTATCTCGACGTGGTGGTGTGTCCCTGTAATCCCAGTTACTCAGGAGGCTGAGGCAGGAGAATAGCTTCAACCCGCCCGGGAGGCGGAGGTTGCAGTGAGCCGAGATTGCACCACTGCACTCCAGTCTGGGCAACAGAGCGACACTCAAAAAAAAAAAAAAAAAATCCTATTTCCAATATCTATCTGCCTTTTAAAGCAAAAGAACTACCTGAGCATCTTGCCAGGAGATGGCAGTCACCCTTGGTCGTGTCCAGGAATTCACCCCAAACAAACATCATCTCAATGCAGTTTGTAGAACCATAGAGTGAACAGAGTATCCAATTTCTCCAGTCACAGAGGTGAGGAGTAGAAAACAGTCTTAGGATTTGGTGACACAGGCCAAGTTGCCCTCTTGACTGATTGTGCTCCCACCCCACTACTGTCTTCTGAAAGCACCTGGCTCCACTCTAGACCCACTCACCACTTAGTATTCAGTGTCCACGGAGGCACAGGCTGCGTCCTACTGAGCGCTCCTGCCTTCTGCTACATAAAGCACCATCGCAGGAAAAAAATCAGAGGCTGAGCCTACAACGTCCTCTGTGGCATCTTTATTTTTCTACCTGGGATGTGAACAACGTGAACATGGGTCAGAAAAGTCAGCTGCACAAAAACACTTCAACCAGTTGTAACACAGAGGGAGCGAAGACATGGAGGGGCTGGGGGTAGCAATTTGAGATCAGCCCTCCCCGCCAAGGGCTCGTGGTCCAAGCCCAAAACCAGAGGGCGCTCTGGGTGGTGTCCAGGACCATGCAGTGCCGGCTCTGGGGAGCAGGGACCAGAAGAGAAAGAGGAATCACAGAGGAGGCTGCGGCTGAGTATGAGTTTATTGGACTCTGGCCTCGCGCTGCTGCTTGATGAAGTTGATAAGCCCGTTGGTGGAAGCATCGTGAGAGGTCACTTGAGCACTGCCATCAAGCTCAGGCTCAATTTTCTTAGCCAGCTGCTTTCCCAGCTCCACTCTGCCAAGAAAAGAAGGGAAGAGTGGTATGGGGAAGGCTCTAACGTTGCTACTGAAATCCCTGAGCCGACCCAAAGGTATTCCTGGCCCTCCCCTGAGTGAGCAACTCACCCCCACTGGTCAAAGCTGTTGATGTCCCAGATGATGCCCTGAACGAAGATCTTGTGCTCATACATGGCTGCAGAGGGGACAGACAGGGCACGTCAGGGTTCCGCAAGCCCATTCCAACCTACCCCAAGCCAGGACCTTTCTCCTACTCACTCACCGACCAAGGCTCCAAGCATAAATGGTGTGAGCTTGGTGAACACAATAGAGTTGGTTGGGCGATTTCCTTCAAAGACCTGCAGAAAACACCAAGGAATGTCTCCAAGTGAGTCCTGATCCCTCAACCCCTTGAAGGGAAGCACGCCCTGCCCCAGAGGCTGAGATGTACAGGTCTGTGAGGACAGGCCCTCCCACTCTGTAGGACAAGCCAGGCATGCCCCAAGCCCCTGCCTGGTGCCACAGCTTCACACCTCCAACTCCAGCATGCACCCCAAAGCCGAATGCAGAAGTGCTGACCTTATGTGGCAGCAGCCTCTCAAGGTC